CGGGACAGCAGGAGAGGCAGGGGCGTCAAGGAAGGCATGAGGGGAAGGCACGGAGCGAGCGATCAGCCCGGCGGGCAGCCATCGGCTGAGGTGAGTGAGCCCCGGGTATCCCCTCGTGAGGGGAGCGCTGAGCRAAGCAGCCATTCCTGAGGGGAGCAGCGAGGAAAGTTCCAGCTGCCCCAGCATCATGTGTAATTTAATATAAGGATGAAACAACAGCTCCGTGAGGTTTTATTGCTTTTCTTCCTCACGTATTGGAGGATAACAATGGAGAGTTTGGGTCTTGAATCCCGTTTGGGAGAGGTCACGGTTGCGATTTCTAATGTTTTCCTTCAAGATCCATCCACAAACATAAGGTGTGTGCAAAAGAAAAGCACAGCACACATACGCAGATTGTAAAGATCGTTAWATGTGATAAGAGTTACAAGGTTGAACTATATATTAGTGAGTTATGAGGACTATAAGTGATTCCTGGCTATTCTTTAACCTTTATTTCTCTATGGGGTGTTGGTAATTAGTGGGCAGGAAAGGGTACRTGCAAACTCACATCTATCAGGTTGCACTACTGTAGCGACAATGTGTAATTGTTGGCTTCTTCATAAAACACATTGCAGCCTATGAACAAAAATTAGAYAACTGAAATAGAGAGATTTGTTTTCTGTGTTGATGTTATTCTGTGTTAAACTCTTCCTTGGAAGAGCCTAAATGGACAGTCTTATTTTGCTGTCCTTTTTGTACCAGAGGACCAAAGCTGTTGGTTTGGTAGCACAATGGGTTGAGGCACGGTGGGAGTGGAGCTGAATGCTAAGTGTAGTTTTGGTTCTTGATGTCTCCAAGTGTAAGAACAGCACTGGAGAATGACCAACACTTTCTTCAGGGGGTGTAAGACACCTCATGAACACTTCCTATTGCTGCTGTGGACATTTCCTTCCACACTCATGCCAGTTGATTTCAGACTGATCCAGATGAGCAGTACATGAAACTAAAGACTGAACCTGTCTGAAGATCCCCGAGTGACCTTTTAAAATTCCTTCTGTCCATTATCTTTACTCATTTTTGCTATTAATACATTTAACGAATGCTGACACCTGTTGTTCTTGTATTAGTAATTCCTCAACCTTTTTGTCCCATTGTGTGCAATTTGGTGTGAGTTTGCCTGCGCTCTGTATTTAACACACGGGGCTAATTTGAAAGAAAGAAAGGGAGAACCTGTGAGCTGTCCAAAAGAGAGCTGACAAATAATCATTCTATGCAGGCTCAAGTTGTCACATGCATGCAGCCATCAAGTACCATGAAGAAACTTACAGTGCAATGTGATATTTGAGCACGGGTAGTAAATATSATGATGCTGTAATAAAATGATAATCATTGAGACTCCATGGGTTGGTTGACCTTAGGATCTTCTGGCAAATAGGCCAGTTTTAGAGTGTACCAGCATTGATAAGGAAGGAAGAATGTGCTGGAAGTGGGAGGGACAGGCTCTGTGAAAAGGGTAGATAAACTGTGAGGAACCCCCGTCATCCACAGCAAATGTGGCACTAGAAAAATAAACTGGTGCCAATAGTAAGATAATGATTATGTGATTCTGTAAGTGCTTTGGAAATTAATACRAATTGCTCATTAAAAGATGTAAMRCACGGGTTTACCTTATTTCCRCAAGGAAGARGAAGCACCTATTCATTTCCCTCTCTAAAGTAAAGAAAGATGCRATTATGACCTTTATCCTCCATAAGTTGGGAATCTTGCTTCAGCAATATCTCAGCAGCACGATGTGTACTGATGTACGAGTTTATGTTGGCATTTTGCTTAAAGAAGAGGAAGCTTCTCTCTAATTTTAGATGGGTCCGCATTCCATTAATTTCATTCTTTGGCTGTTTGCCAGGGAAGTTGGGCAAGTCCCAGGGTGGGGTGGGCAATGACGCCGCTGTCCTGTGGGGCATTGCTGCCATCTGCTGCCATCGGGGATGCTCTTCCATAGGGCCTTAAACACGGGGAAAGCTTCCCTTCCCCTTCCCCTTCCCCTTCCCCTCTTCTCTCCCTCTTTGCTAAATAATAATAATATTGAAGTATCTTTTCTCCTAATTCTTGGTTCAATAAGTAAAGTAAACAAAGAACTTGGGTTTTGTCTGTCTAGAAAAAAAACAGTGGACTTAAAAATTGATGTATTTATCTGTAGGTCTTATGAAGAGGAAAATTGCATTGGATTTGCCTTTATTATTTCCATAAGTCAGTGTCATTTCAAAAATGGGAGTTCCTGGCAACTCCTCGGTACTGCTCTGTAGTGAAGCCTGGTTTATTTAATCTTTCCTTGAATTTCAATGTGCGTGGTGGGCACATTGGAAAGAGGATTTGTTTGAGGTGTATCAGCCTTGGAAACAGAGGCAGTACTCTGCATTCAGGATATTTATTCCCTAGATGTGCTTTATCAATGTGGTTTTTCTCTAGTTTACAAGGCTGCCGTTAGATGTCAGCAGCATATCGAGCACAGCCTCYGCTGACAGCTGTGTTTGAAGCTTGTATTGAGTGCACTGATTTTTGTCACCTCGGTCTTTTTTAAAAAACATGTACAGTAGAGTAAATTGTAGTTCTTAATGATTATGGAATAATAGCAAAGGCAATTCTTGAMACTATCAATTGTTATTACCTTAAAGAGCTGCTGGATGTGGAATGTACAGCTTCAGAATTATATTTGGAGCTGGTTAACAGCACTAAATTTTATGTGAAACCTCAGTTTTACTCATGCTCTTCTAAAGACGTGAAGTGCTATGTGCTGTGAGCTTCCCACAGGGATTAGACGTGRTGGTTTGGTAATGAGGTGTGCCTTATTTTAGTGTGTTTTTCCCAGTTTACAATAAGTATTAAGCAACAGGTACAAATATTSTTTTCCATTGTTGTTTGCCATTCAGAGTTTTGAATGGTGAATTTAAGTATGTCAGGACCTCTACTGGGTTCTTTATATATATGTGTTTAAACATTTTGTTGAATTTTTAATTCTCTGGTGAACTTCTTTCCTTACCCTTATACATTTGCAGTAGGTCTGTCCWTATATTTTGGCTTTAATCTTAAGAGTGCTGCTTTGAATCAATTTCCCCTAAAACATCTAMAAGTAATTAAACCCAGAATGCAAGYTCCACAAACATTTCCCACGCTACAAAAGCCTGCATTTCATTTAGTTGCCTATTTTTATATCATGGAACTATTTGTTTTCAGTGGAAATAGAGTATATATTGGATAATAACCCCAAAATAGAAATGTCCTAAAATCAGGTTTCTTTAAACAGAGTAATTTCTCCCACATTAAAAGATTTATAGTTTAAAATAGCTTTGAGTCTGGGAGGTTCATTATTTTTATGTTGTTTACGCTTAGAGAATACATATGAAAGACCATTCAGAGSAAAGCTTGTCCTGAGGGAGTCCCGAGTTTTGGTGGCTGTACATGTATTTAACAGGAAAAACCAGGGGTCACAGCAGGCCRCCTCCTCCATGGGGTGCTGCTGCTGGGGGCATTTGAAACAAATCATTATGCAAAATCATCTGCCTATTTTTTTCCTGACCTATGACGCTTTCTTTATTATAAATATCAAGAAAATCTGGTCAAATTTGCAGCAAATATTTTAACTGCCCAACTATCTATGAGTATTATACGTATTTTAGAAATCTAGGAGATTCTACACCACTAACTCCTATGARTCCTCCCATCCATCCTGTTAAGGGATATTTGGGTCCACAAATATAAATCAAAGTCAAATTAAACTGTCCTTGCTCATGCCTACAGAGAATGTATTGGAAATAATTGTTGTTTTCTGACTTGTTTCTGMTGGTTCAGAGAGGCAGAGGAATGAGTTTTCAAGACTTTAGCAGCCTCAGATCTCCTCCAGCCCTGGAGCCAGGTTGGGGGTGGGAAAGGAAGAGAAGGGAATGTAGCAGTTCTAAATTTCCAACTTTCCCAGACCTCTCCAATCAGTTTCAATGGAGAAAACTTCCTCTTATTTCCTATGCTGGTCGTGTGCACAGAGCTTTTACTTGTCATTTCTGGGCTTACCCAGGATCCATCTGGACAGGCAGGSCCCTTTTTTATTTTTCAATATAATGATTTCTTTGCTTCTGTAGGTTTGGCAAAAGAGAAAATTTGTGTCTGACAAAACAGAAAAAGCCTGAGGTAACACACACACACAAACCAAGCGAATGTGCTAGAACAAGTCAAAGTCATCAAGGTGCCTGAAAGCAGCACTGGAATGTCACTTTGCTATTCCAGAAACCCAGGCGCAGAAGAAATCCTCCTGCATATGTCACCGAAATTACAAGTTTGTCTCACACTTAGATAGCCTGGGGGTTTTAGCACTTGTAACTACTCCATCCCTGGAATTAAGGAGCAGAGCTGCATTCCAGAACTGGCATGCTTGAAAGATTTAGTTGCAGAATAAGAGATTATGTTACTGAAAAAACAAACAAAAAAAAAAGATACTGAAGGGCTGCACATTTCACTCTGTGYATTTAATTGTTCTGTATTTTAAACCAGAATAACTGTGTGAGGCACTGAAAGCAGTTCTGGACAAACA